GAGAGAGAATGAGAGAGAGAGAGAGCACATGAGAGGGGGGAGGGTCAGAGGGAGAAGCAGACTCCCTGCTGAGCAGGGAGCCGGATGCAGGACTCGATCCCAGGACTCCAGGATCATGACCTGAGCCGAAGGCAGTTGCTTAACCAACTGAGCCACCCAGGTGCCCCTTGATGGTCTTTTTAAATCTTTGTCCTGTAATGTGTGATGTGTGGGCATCCATAAATGGAGGAGGGGGAATGTTAGTCCATCGTTTTGTAAAGCCCTGAATTTATTTTAATTTTTTTGCAAGCATAACTGTACTTTAGATAAAGATCTCCCGTCATTGCACCGTTTTTAAATGCAGGTAATAGAACATGATTCTTCTTAGTACTCCCAAGTGTGTTTGGTTTAAATACTAATCATAATACTTGCTTTCCCGCTTGGCTTTAGAGTCTGCTTAAAGTAATAGTGAAAGATTGAATTCACTATACTTTTGTTAGAAAGTCTGGAAATGTTCGTCCATGGACACTTTCGTCGCCTGCTAGAATGGAAATTCACTGGGAAGGGGGTGAGCATTTCATTTTATTGCCTAAGAGGTGTCGATAACATGCCCTAAATCTTTCCAAGGTATCTTTCATGCCAAACAGGCAAACTAGCTAGCGAAGGAACAGAAAGACCACTTCTTACATGAGTCATTCTCAGCAAACTTGCACAGCAGCTGTGCTAGGTACTGATGAGGATTACCACAGAACCCAGTTGCAAGATTTTATGTGGTCGAGGAGACAACTGCCTCTCTCAGGGGACTGCTTCGAAGGGGGTTGCAGCAATAATGCATCCCTACTGTTGCGGGTGGATTTTGTGGCCACAGAGTATAAAATCAGTGCCAGATAAAATCAGAAAGTAATAGAAAGTGAGAAGAATCTCACGGATTTTAAACCTTAACGTGAGAGACTACAACAAATGTCCTGAGCTTGTTGCATTTACTAGTTAGGAAAAGGAGAGAGAGGAAGGGACGCGTTTAACTCCGAAAACTTGCAGGGCTTCGGTCTTTTCATTTGAGAACCGTTTGGGTGTGTTGTGAAATCAAGTTGCAGAGTAGGCATGTTCAGACCTTTTTTTGCTACAGTTAGTAGGAAAGATCCACCCCCCCCACCTTAAATAAAAGAAGCCAGAGTTTTCTGTGCAAACTGAAACAGGCGTTGCAAGAATCAGATTCACTTTGGACGAGTCTTCACATTCCAAGTCATCATTGCATTAGGCAGCACAATTCCATCTCTGGTTGATGGGCAGAAAAAGTGGGCAGCTTGCCAGGTAGACGTTTCCATGACTCCCAGCCCCCAAAGGTGATGCGTTTTTCAGCTAATTCAATGAAGAGTGGGCTGAACTTTGGGTCTAAACGAGACAATAGCTGCCTTCGCAGTATCAGCAGAATGGTTGATGGGAATGCACTCTACATTTGGCAGAGAATCATGTGACCTTACGACTGAGATTTTGTGATGGTGCCAACGGAGACTTGGAAAGCAGCAACCGTCCTGACTTTTTTCTTCTTTTCTAGCATGGCTCAGAAAATGGTGGATCTTAATACTTGACTTTAGCCAGACTCAGCAAGCGACTGAGCTTTGAAGCACAACTTCGCCTTTATTCTGGGTTTTTGGCAGGCCACCAGGAGGCTGTCCCTTTCACGCCTGATAAATTCTGCTGCTTATCTCTAAATAGGAAAAAAAAAAAAAAAAGAAAAATATAAACAGAATATTGAGGCATAACAAGTGAATCCTAAAATTGTATGTGCTTTTTGTTTTTTGGCTTTTCTTACTGCTGATTTTTTTAAATGTTAATACCCTTTCTGCTTGCTGAAGAATCCAAGTACTTTTTTTTTTTTTTTTGGTTTATAATGAACAGGCATTTGAACAGGGCAAACAGGACGGCCGCAGCAGTGAGCATGAGATCATTGCAGCCGTGTAGCAAGCTGGCACCCTGCCTTCTCACCCTTTTGGTTCAGGAGACAAACGTGTGCAATCCTCATTTCTAAAGTCAGCTCAGCCTGGAAGGATTCCTGGTCTCTCCCACCTTCTACCATTCTGCTGCCAGGGACAGCAAGGATTGGTGCAGTTTCTGCGCAGTGCTTTGTGCCTGGAATACGGAGAAGGAAGAAAAAGAAGACAAGCACCCTGGTCCTTTTTTCCAAGAAATAACAGGAGCCCCGAAGAAAAAAAAAAAATCTTGAGTTTGTCCTACTCCATGCAACAGTGCTGAAAAATATGAGACGCTCCTGCTCAAAAACAAAAACAAAAACAAACAAACAAAAATCCAAACCAAAACAAACCAAAAAAAAAGCAAACATTGGCTTGTATACCTACAGAGACATCGGGCTTTGTAAAGCAGCTTTGTAAGGCAACATAACCAAATGAGCCTTCCTTATTTTTATTATTTCAAAAATATGGCATAATTAGCAATATATTGCACTTGGTGAAATCGCACCTTTCATATCAGGTATAACTTTTTTTGTTGTTTCTTTTTAAGCCTACTCTTAGATAAAAGGGGATCCTTGAACTTTCAATGTACTCTTATTTAGCTCATCACCCACTTTACTCTTATTAACTTTTTCCTTTTGCTCTCTTGCTCTAATCCTGATTAGAATAGAAACTTACGTAAAAATAGAAAAATGTGTATGGAAAAGATGGTACATGTTTTTATTTTGGTTATACATCGAAGTTGGGAAAGACATTAATATGTTATCTGTGCTTTTCGTGTACAGTATTAGTTTTTGCTATCTAAGAAAAGTGAGCGTTTAGTCCTAGTTGTTTAAAGAAACTAAATCTTTTATTTGCTGTGACTCATAATTTGAAATGTGAAGGAAGAAACTTTTTGAACTTCTAAAAAAGGGTCATATTAGAAGATATATTAAGAAATAAAATTAGTTTGGGGGAAGTTGTATTTAAATTATTTACCAGGATTTCAGTATAACCGAAATAGGGATGAAAAGATCATGCTCTCAGTTGCTAAGTAGAAAAGAAGCTTGTTCCACAATAATACTCTCTTTTAAAATATATTTTAAAAGAAGCGTTTGTCTTAGGGCGGTTGCAGAGAGCGTTGGAAATATCCATTAAGTATTTTAGTGGAAAAAGTACATACAAACTTGTTTTAAGTTTAAAGCAATGATTGGTTCAGCAGATAAATGCATTGCATTCTAATTATTTTGTCTATTTGTAGGAGTAAATTGTTAAGCAATTTAAGCATTTTGTAACAAAACCCAGTTTTGCCTGGTTCAGTGGGAAAGGATTAGCAGATGTATTCCACCTATTTTAATATTGATTAAAACTCTTTCTAAACATGTTTAAAAATTGTTAAAAAAGAGAAAGTACTTCTTAAAAATAGAGCATATATAAATGAAGACTATAATTTGCATATTAAGAATTGATGGTATAATATTCTCCGTGAAAAGAATAAACTTGGAGCAAACTGTTGTGCTTTTAAAATCATATTTTATCATATTGAAAATATGTAGGGTAAACAAAGAGAAAATATTATAGAACTGATGAATTCTACCTCCTTTTTTTGTTATTCTATGAAGAATTATGGGAAATTACAATTACCCTATATACTGATAACATTCAAATAAAACGTTTTATTAAGTTTATCGGTTATTGTTCACTAATTATTTAAAAAAATAGCTCTTGTTCCTTTATGCTGCCTCAGCTAATGGAACATCAACTTTCACAGCCTTAATTAACATTTATAAACCTGTTTTCATGTTTCAAGATCCTTTAGTTGAAAAACATTATTTTAAATGTTATTTTTAGGAGCCATTAATCTCTACACTCTTAATTATCTTATTAAGCTCCATGCCAAATCCAAATCTCTTTTCAGCTTTCACTAGTTCATTGTGCAAAACCTAGTCGCTTCTTTACAGCTATGCCTCCTTTCACTTTCAAAACTGTTACTGTGAAAACAACACCAACCAAAATGAACGCGTAAATGCAAACTATGAAACCACATTATATGTCATATGAGTAGCCTTGGGTGGGGCTCTAGGAGTCTTCCAAGCCTTTAAAAAAAATACTTTAAAAGGTTTTGCCCATTTTGATACTGTGTTTTCTTCTCGATCATCTACCTTCATTCCCACCATCCAGCCAGATGATCCTCCTAGACAAGCAGTTGTCTGATATTTCTCCTTTTGTGGTTGTTTTAGGGAAAAACTTAAAATGGATATGAGAAGTGAAGAAAGTGATCATAGGAGAAAATCATCTCAGGTAAAAACAAAAAGCAAAAGAACAATTAATATTTAATATTTTTAAAGAAGAAACACAAAACAATGTTGACTATATTTAGTTTTAAGAATTTGTTTCATAGTCTTTATGGATCTAGCTGTTGGAATTTTCATTGATGGCTTGAGAATTTATGCTATTACCTACCATTGTGACAAATTTTTGTCTGAGTTTATGATCTATGTGCAGTTTGAGTCTCTTGGAATTATGTATCTATATATCCATTCATATATCTATATATCCATTCATGTAATGGTTGAATAGAAAGTAATTTAGAAAAAGAAAATATATATTTTTTTCATTTGTCATACCAGGTAAAAGGAAGTGAAATCTGGAGAGAGGGAATAAAGTTGTGCTTTTTTAAAAAAATGACCTAATAAGAGAATGAAACCAAAATATACATTCTTATAGTTATGATAAAACCCAAAACAAATGTTGCTTTTTATTTCACATCTAAGTTTATGAATACATGTTAAGATATTTTTACTATAATTGAATGCAATTATGACTGTTGATTTTTTACTATAGTTTTTAACAAGAATGGGAATAATTAGAAAATAAATAATGGTAAAAAAAATTATGTAGACCAAATTATCTACATAAAGTCTATAGAACACATTTTATTTTATTTCAAAACATGCAAAAACACTAAGTAATTTTTATGTAGTATTACTATTTTTCACAATGAAGATATAATTTAGAAATGCTAAATATTGTGGATATGAGTGAAATGATTAATGATTGTACAACTTACAGTTTTGTTGCTGTTGAGCTTAAAATCTTAAAAAATATGTATGTGGCTGGCTTTATGTTTATTCTTTGTGTGTTTGCTTATTGTGTAGTGGCTTAAATTTTTTTAATAACAATTGATTTTTGCCCAACCTGTTGACCAGGTAAGAGTTGTAACTAGCTATATATTATGTTTTAAGAATATCTTTTTTTAAAAAAATAAATTTGAAGATATTGTGTTTAAGAGGCAAGTTATGTCCTCTTTTATGCAGTAGATCTGGAGTATAGATTATAGTAGTAGTAGCACTGCTAATAGTAATAATGCTGTTAATATTAATTTTAGTTTTCTGATAACAATTTATCCAAATATTGTTAATTTCAGTATTATTCCAACTATAGACACATATGTATACATTCAAGACTTTTTAGTGACTTCCTGTGTTCTCTGCCTAGTCAACAAGATCTTACTTGTTTTATGAGAAAGTTATAATGTTACCCATTCCTTGAAACCACTAACGGAGGTTTTATAAAAGAGTTAAAACAAGCACAGTCTGACTCTTACACAATTAGCTTAATAGTTAATTTGGTCTTAATTATAGGCTGGTAATACTACATTCATGCTTCACAATTACATAATTCATACATGCATGTATGGATCCTTTTTTTTCTTTTAAAACTCGTTATTAATTAGAATAGTCCAAATCCAAAATATTCACTATTACTAGAGTAGTCTGTGAAAAATATTTCAATATACTATTCTTTAAATTCTCATGTATATAAACATGAGTAGTGTAGAATATTATGAAGGCCTTTAACTGGGAATATGTATACTAAGAGCATTTTAGCATTAAAAATATTTGTAGTAAAGGATCAATATTAATATTTTCATCTAATTTCATCAAATATTTACAATAAATTCTGCATTAATAGGGAGCCCAAGTGAGATGTTGCCCATTGGCATAAACCCGTAGATCCGATCTTGTGGTGAAATGGACTACACAAGCTCGCTTCTATGGGTCTGTGTCAGTGTGGTAATCTAACAAAATGCTGTAGACAAATGCTGTTAAATCATATTTCAGTCAAACTCCTGTTAAACTTTAGTTGATTACTTGGGAAGTATTTATATTTCCTTTTGTTACCCTCATCGGTCTTTAGAGACAAGCTTCAAGTGTCTACCACTAGGAAGGGTTTAGAGCATAGCCATTCAAGCTGGAATCCAAATACAGTAAATTACTTAAGAAACTTGAATTTTTTATAGCCAGGTTCAAAACAAGGGCTGAATGGATCCTGTTCAGAAACTTAAGTTCACATTACAGTGGTTAGTACACCTCATCAACTTCAAGAAGAAAATTAAAGGCTATAATTAGATTTATGTACTACTATTGAGCTGATTTATCTTGAATAATGGAGTTGAATGCTATTGGCTTTTAATATTTTTAATTGCTAGTAGAACTATATGCCAGGAGAGATGTCAGAGGACATTTTGTATGACCTGTGCTAGAAACCCAAGAGGTTAGGATAGTCCTAGTAGACACATATTAAGTCTATTGGTGAAATGTTAGAATATTATATCTACATCCTTGCCAAGCCCTTAGGTGTATGGCCGCCATATTTGGAGGAGCTGTCTGAAGATATGATAAGGAGTTTGAAGCAACATTGGAAGCTGTGTGCATCCGGGTTGAGGTAGTAGGTTGTATGGTTTAGAGTTACACCCTGGGAGTTAACTGTACAACCTTCTAGCTTTCCTTGGAGCACACTTGAGCCATCGAGGAATTCTTCACCACTTTTACCTGACTGAGCCAATTTCTGTGCAAGAAGGTAATGTGTCATGAGTATTTTGGATAATCAATTTGAACCTTTCTTACATTAAAATGATCCTTTCATCCCTAAATACTAGATTATTCCATTTGCATCTACTTGTAAACACTGGCAAGTTGGTATTTCTAATAGGTTGTTACTCTATGAGCAAACATTTTTAAGAACTGGTGAGTAGTGACTTAAACCGCATTGATATTTCAACTTTTCAGTCACAGATTCACAAAATTTGGCTCTTAATTTTGCAAACTGATCATTGATCTTTTTTCTATTTTTATTGGCTACTTAGACACTATAGTAAAAAAAAAAAAGTCTTCTAGTGTCAATGACTTAATAGCACATTATCTGAGTCTTTCTTATGACACATCACTTTCTCCCTTATGTTATGGTTATCTATGTGCTTGTTTATTTTTTTTCCAGTATATACTAGACTGTAAGCCCCTTGAGGGCGAAGCCCATGCCTTATCTTTCATTGTATCCCCTATAGTGCTTTACACATAAGATCTAATATTTATTGGATGAATGAATGGAGTATAAGATCTCACCCTGTGATGAGTTTCTATTGAATATTTGAATGAATTACAACAGTAGTCACAAATTTGCGTATTGTTTGTTGGTCCTAAAATTTGCCTAAATTTAATTCCCACACTGCTCTACATCAGTAATATACCTGTTTTTTCACTGTGTTGAGTGTGCCCATTCATCCTAGACATACAATTTAAAACTTAGGATTGCTTTTTCTCTAGAATAAAAAGAATACAGCAAACTCATTTTTATTAATAAGTTCATTATAGTTTACAACCCTAAATTTAGATTATGTGTATTTCTTTTGAATTTTTAAATCCTTTCATTTCTAGACGAATGGTTTTTCTTTCAACATCACTTTTATAAATCAGCTTTTGGTATTTTGTATACTTCCCTTGTCTTCTACCCTTTATTTTTGTACAGCCACGTGTGGAATAAACCAGAAACAACTAAACCAGAAACATGTCAAGAAATTAATAATAAATATATGACGTGTAATTGAGGATTGAATCACATTTTTGTTTGAAGGGAAGTTACCTACAATATTCTGTCTGTACAAAGCAAATAGGTCTCTTTGGAGAACGTTAACTTACCACCAAATTTAGTGGCATCAAATGGTATAGTTTATATAAAGAGGCTAGTTTATATCGATCATCTTTCAGTCACAGAATTAAATAGTTATAGATATTGGAACTTTAAACTCTAAGTATGAAACATTGAATACATAGAAAAGATTTTTAGATATAAATATGTTAAGAACTATAAGATCCAGACAGTGTGGTGGTGAGCTTCCTATAGAACACTCTGGCATCCAGAATATCTCAGAATCTAGAATTCACCAACAATGGTGAAGAAGGAACTTTTGAATCACCAACGGGAAGAACACAGGAGCATTAGAAAGCTGAATACCAATGATTTCAATCAAAATTATTTGATTCGTAGGCAGAGGTTGAAGACTAGTAGTCTCTAAGAAAGAAAGGCCTTTTCAAGGACTAATCAAGAGATGATGAACAAGAGGCAGGAGACATAGACAAAAGAGTAAGAGACAGAGAAAATGAGAAGTTGAGAAGGAAAGTACTCCTAGCAAAGAGAAACAATGTTGTGTGTACTGGTAACAGTTCTACACAAAGGTGGAAGAAACAAACAACTGAGGGGTAAACAATTACATATTTGTAAATAGTTTAGTCTTTGAGAGCCTTGTAGTCCCTTTCGTGTGTGTGTGTGTGTGTGTGTGTGTATTCTAATACTCTTGTGTACAGATTTGGAGACCAAGTCGGTGTCATGGATGGGCCAAGTAGAATACTATTGTCAAGAAATGCCTGTTTCCATTTGGTGCAATAGAGTTAAGTCTATCACAGAAATCAACTGTGAGGTGCAGTTTAAGGATAAGCTTATGAAAATACTATGACAAGTGCATAGAATCGTGGTCTCTTATCTACCCTAGCAAAAGGGATCTGGTATTACAGAAGAATAGCTGAAAAATTACAAAGATGTAGCTATGATGAAAAGTGTTAGTCATGTGAAGTCATAATAATTCTGAAAGGCAGAGGATATAATTAGCATCAATGCAGAAAATAAAAACTCCTCTGTAGGCTGAGAATACTACATGGGTGGTTCTTTCACTAGTAGTTAATTATAAATTTGCTCTTCTAGCTATGGGGGTTATTTAACTTACTATATTCTTATGAAAAAAATGGCAGATGACAAATACACAAATTGATAGGATTATCTTAAAGAAACCGAGATTCAGGATCACTGCTGGTGTCAATATCTAGAAATAAACCATGGGGAAATAATGTGCATTTAGAGAGTTAGCATTCAATGAGGGAGCAACTATGCAGATTGAATAATTCCTTTAAGAATTTAAGTGGTCAAGGGGCACCTGGGTGGCTCAGTCATTAAGCGTCTGCCTTCGT